CCTAAAAGGTATGAGTCGTCCGCCTGTTTTTAACAAACAGGGGCTCTCAACCACTACTCCTGCTAGGTTAACAAATTATGAGTTAAAAGCCAACATTGGCGAATAAAGGGAAACAACCGGTACCCGCCGCTTGTTATCTCTACTACTCAGTTCCTTGGCGACTAGGTAACACTCATGTTTACTTGGTCAGACCACTTTCCTAGGTTAAATTTACAAATGACAGGACCGCCTGCTTAAAAAGGATCCAGTCTTTAAAATAGTTCGAATACCGATTGGATAAATGGCCGACTGATCGTCTATCCTGGAAACAGACAACCAGTCGTCCAGGGGCATAGGCGGCGTGACTAACTACCGTACCTGTCTGCAACTATCGGTCATGCAAAACAGTCGGTCTAGTGAACAATTGGATATTAGAATATGGAATACTTAGACAAATTTGAGGCAAAGCAAAAATTCATTAAAAATAAGCCGGTCATTAAAAACCAGCAAAATATTCAAAGCCCCGGCCCCCTGGCCGGGTAAATACAAAACAAACGGCACGCAGGCCGTGGAAAGAATACATAAAGCTTAAGAAGGGGGCAGATCTTCAATATTAGCAGTTGCCGCCTGGTCAGCACTCTTCTTGCTGGACTCGGCTTCAGCTGCATCCTTTTTTGATGCCTTACCCCCAAGCGGCACAAGCGCCACTACCGGCTCCTCCTCCTCCAACGCTTCTTCCAACGCCTCTTCCTCAGCAGCCGCCAGGATCTCTTGATTATAAGTATCAGAACACTGGCGGTACGTTCTTTCCCAAGAGGCAAAGTCGGCACTAGGGAAGAGGCGGCCCCAGGTCATGCGCTGGATTTGAGCGGAGTCTTCCATCATCTCCCGGACCAGCTCTTTCTTCTCTTGCTCGGCCTTTTCCGAGAGCTCTTGGGTAAGACTCTTCTCTTGGCTCACCAGGCGTTCTTTTACGCTGGCCAAGGATTTCTCCATGGCTTCGTAAGAGTACATTTTTAGGCGAAGAGGTTTCAGCTCGGCCTTAAGATTTGTGATGGTCACCTCCAGCTCGTCATTCTTCTTCTGGGCCGCCTCTAACTGAGCCCAAACAGCGGCGGTAGCCTGCGCCTGATAATAAAGAATATCAATGGTCAGAACTTCATTTTGGGCAATTTGAAACATTGACTTATCACAGTCAGAGGCGGCCATAGCTTTTGCAGCCTTTACCTCTTTGTTCTTCCGATCAAGCGGCTTGCGAAGGCCGTTCACTCGGAGCAGGGCCTAAGTACAAAGAAACAGGCGTCAATTTCCAAACAAAAAATAAAACAGGCGTTCAGAAACTCAAATACTCAAAAATATGCTAAGTATACCTCAGCAAGGACCCCTGCAATCCCGTCAAGGTCAAGGGTGCCGACACCCCTGACCGCCTCCCTTTCAGCTGGAGGAACTGCCCTGATCATAGACTTGGCCATCTCTACCAAGTCAGGCTCCTGAGGGCCGGCTGCATCATGCATAAACAAACGGATTAGACCTAGTAAAAAAGGGAGCAAGTCTAAAATTTACAAGGACAACTTCATACCTCTAGGCGGCCCAGTTGGAGTTTTAGAGGAAGTGGCCGGCTGTTTCTCAGCCGCCACCTGTTTCCTGGCAGAACCAGGAGAGCTCACAACAGTCGTCTTCTGGGTGAAAGGTTGAGAAGATGAAGCTCTTGGAGCACCCGTCTAAAAAAGAAGAAAAAAGTCAGTATATGCATAAACACTCCAAAAAGAGGGTGAAAGGTTCGGAGCTCACCAAGGGTGCCCCCTTCTTGGGGGAGTCGGTTGAAGCTTGTTGCATGATGGAGGCCCGCAACATGGCCGCCGCAGTCTTGGAGGCGGTGATTTTGCTCATGGCGTCAGCTGCAAAAACAAACAGCAAAGTTAATAAAAGTCATAACAAGAAATGTATGGAACAACAGAGTATTCGACAGGCCGACTACCTCTTGAGCACCGACTGCTGAGGCCACAGGCGGCCAAAAAGTACTCGTCGTAGAGCCACTTGAAGCTCGGGACGCAGTGCAGGGGTACTTGCTCTCGTACCCCTGAAGTAGAGTCGACCCTCGACTCTACTTTAAAGAGTCCTTTATCAAGGATCTCTTTCTTAGCCTTGGGGGGAACAGGCGGCATGCTACGGCCGCCTGCAAGAAGAGGCGGATTCCTGTTCCACCTATTGAAGCGCTTGTTCAGCTCAATGTCTGAACTCTCAATGATGAGGAAGGTGCTCCGCCAGTCCTTCCACTTGTTTTCTTTACCTCTCGTCATGAGGTAGCCCCTGTGGCTTGTTAATTGATACCAGCCGGTACCGCCTGTCTTAGGGGTCCGGCTGAGATAGTTCATATGGGCGAAAGCCTCGAAGCTCGGCTCCACCCCGTGCAGTTCGCACCCGGCCACATAGCCGAGTACGTTGACCCAGGAGTTTGGGGCTAACTGCCATAACCCCAACTCATACCCATCCAAAATCCGCTGAACAGCCGGATGTAATGGGAAGCGCAGCCCTGCCTTGATGGCCGCCTCGTAGCAGCCAAAGCAGGCGCTATCATAACTGGAACCAGCCGGCCAGACGACTGTGTCTTCTGGATCCGGCACAAACACTAGAAAGTCGGGGCCCATGGTGTGGTTTGCAATAAAGCTCTCCACTTTCTCTTGCATGGCTGTGATTCGGCCCCGAGGTACCGTGCAGTAATAGGGGGTATTTAGCTCTCGGTAAGAGGCGGATGGCTCCGCCCAATTGTCCCCCTTCTCAACTGCGTGAGAAAGTCTCGCCTCTTGCAGGCGGCTGTTTTTCTCTTCTGTACCCAAAGAAGCATGGCCAGAAGAGCTTGACTCGGAATCGTCCTCCGACGAGTCCGAAGAGGACGACTCCTCCCCTCTCTCGGAGGGGCCCGCCTCCTCTCTTTGAAAAGGAGCAGATTTGTTAACTGTTAAATGGGAAGGGGTCACTATGACTCCCCCCACAGAATTGCCGGCATCCAAGCCGCCTTGTTTCACTTCCACATCTGGCGCCTGGTCAGATGTTTCACTAAGCGGCACCCTGTGGGAGGAGCCGTCTGAATTTGAGATCCTAGCTGTCTTTTTCGTTCTGGCCATCTTGCTCTGCATAGACACAGATACTGTCGGACTTTGTATAAAGGGCAAAGATGGGTCCGGAAAAGGGCAGGCGGCACTCCTAGTCCTAGATTCAGCCGTCCCCGGTGACCGGCTGATCACTAACCTAGGTCGTGTCGTGTGCTTCCGTGGTGCCATTTCAGAAAATAAAAAGAAAATTAAGAGTAAGAGAACTGAGTTACCTGAACGAGTGACGGTTGATGAAGTTCTGGAAATCCGGTGCAGTCGGCTTGTCAGAACAGGCGGTAGGCAGAAAAGGTCCAAAATGTCAGAGCAAGTTCAGGGGTCCGAATGTTCTCAAAAAGTTCTCAAAGTGTGAAAATGACTCAAGACAACTCTCCCTTATATAGGCGAAGTGAGAAGGCGAAGGGTCACTTTAGGAATTCAAAATTTGGGCGGGAAAATCTCTCGTCCTTTCGCCGACTGACACCTGTAGCAGGCCGTCGCCTGTTACAGTGCGACACCTGTCACAGGTAACACGTGACCAATCACGTGCCACCTGTGAGGGGCAAATGATTAGGGGATTTTGCTCCTACCAATCGGAATGCGCCACGTGGACCAATCAGGTCCTGCCAAGTGTCCCCCAGTTGGAACAGCCAGGGCTTCCCACGTGGCACGCGCTTATTCGTCCACCTTGGACCTGTTATGTCAAGACATGTGGCATACTCCATGCCTAATGGAGAAACCGGCCACCCAGGCCCAACTTCCGAGGGAAGCCCAATCGGCCCTAGGTTTACCTAAACCTAGGATGGGCACGTTTCCCAAGGTTATAAATACCTCCCTTAATCCTCATTAAGGGGGATTACAAAAAAGAGAACAAAAACATTACGGAAAAAAACACATTAATTACACACAGTAATAACCGGCTGATCTCGCTAACAAAGCAGATTACCTACATTAAACACTCTCCCCTAGAGAGACCAAATCACTTTAATTTCAGCATTAATTACTCCTTAATCAGGTACTAACTTGACCGTTGGAGGCGGAGCTCACAGGAGTCTCCGTTATTTTGCAGGTACAGGCGTCCGGTTCCAGTCTCGGAATTGTAACTCTCCCGCAGGACATCAGAATACCCCGAAACAAGATGGTTCCACTTTATAAGGTTGAGGAGTTACTCCTACTATTGCCAATTGGTTTTAGTATGGAAACTCCTAACCCTTATTTGTGGATCAAACTCTCCTCCTCATTGTTCTGGTTGGTCAGGCCCATTTCATATTCTCTAAAAAATTGAACATGGTATCAGAGCCCGGGTTACGAGTCTCTTCTAAACTAGGTATTTAATCGCTACTGGATAAGGATTTACCTCGATAGGATTTCCAGTCCTTAAGAGGATTATTAATCTGGCCTTTCCAGTTAGCTCTGGATTTCTAGGGACACTCACAAGTGAGGGGGAGTGTTGAAACTCATGTAACCCACTTGTGAGTGTCCCACATTGGAAAAAGAGGAGAGATGGTTCCACTTTATAACGTTGAGGATTTACTCCTACTATTGCCAATTGGTTTTAGTATGAAAACTCCTAAGCCTTATTTGTGGTCCAAACTCTCCTCCTCCTTATTCGGGTTGTCTAGGCTCATTTCATATTGTCTTGAAATTCAACAATGAGTAGAACATAAAAAAACGAAGATAATATTTTACCTAGTGTTTTAACTAATCCAACCAAAGTATTGCTTTTTTAAGAAAAAAATCGGAGTACATATCATGTTTGAACAAAGAGACTTCCATGCTCTATTGATAACAACTCCAATTATGAAGGTGGTGAGCTTATGAGTCAACTAATGTCACTTTTCACAAGTAGGTCCAAACAAAGGTGGATGACAGACAGTGGCATTTGCATAATAACCCCCTTAACTAAAAAAGCAAAGCAAACTCCCCATTTTTTCCACTTTTCTTCCGCCCTTTTCTTTCTCCACCCCACACTTTTCATTTTCACCTTCCCAACCATATCACAACAAAAACCCCATTTTTCTACATAAATTATTCATCAATTTTATCAAAAAAATTAAAAATAATAATAATATTAAGTTCCAAAAAAAAAATCCCCATTTTTATTTCATTCAAATAAATAATCATTCATCTTAGAAAATTAAAATTAAATTATTTGAAGAATCTTTTTCGTGTCCAAACTGTATTCCTTAGTCAAAACATCCACGCCTGGAGAGAAAAGTAGTAATAGCCTTTTCTTTAGAGAGAGATGGGTACCTAACCTTCTTTCTTTTTCTGTTTTTTTTGCTAAATTTCTGAGTTAATTTTAGTGTTTTTGCACCAGATCTACGTGACCCAATTTTGGTTTTATTTATTTTGTTACAAAAATTTTAATTTTAGTTCATTACATCATTTAGTTTGTGCACAAAATTTTCCTCAAAAAAAAAAAGTTTGTGCACAAAATTATAGTGTATAATCCAACTTCTGGGTGTTTTTGTTAGGTGAAATTTTCACAAGTTTTGCTGTTTCATTGATTTTTATTTTTTTTTATCTGTTTAAAATTAAAATAAAAGTTAGTTCAGTTTTGTTGAATTTGTATGGGAGCTTGTTGGAGTAATCGGATCAAGGCTGAGAGTCCCCTTCACACCGGTATGATTATCTGCTTTTCATTTATTTTTATTATTATTTTGATAGTTGGGTCTTATTCAATTTATTTGTTGTATTAAATGTTCATTTAATTATATTAATTGTATGGTTTGTTGGTTGTTTTTGCATGATTATTTAGAAATTTGTGTTTTATGTTGTTTATTATGGAGTATTATGCTCATAATATAATAAACTCTGCTGTCATGAAAGTAGACCATATGTTAATTGTGTTATTGTTGTTGATTTGCATTTGTTGTATATTCATATTCAATCATGAGCTTCTCTAGTTTTAGCTTTAGAAAGAGTAATAATCAGTTGTTTTGGATGGTGATTTTTATGTTATATCCTATGTTACTCAGACTCTACTAAAAGTTTCTGATTCCGGTAACGGATTAACGGGCTGGGTATGCTAGAAGTGCCAAATATGGCCTTCGTATGAAACACGGCGTGATTTTTAGTACGTAATGACGTGTTTCAAGTGATACACATGAGTGAGGTGTCCTGTATCCAACACGAGTACTTGATGTGAAATGAAGAGTATATTAATATACATATAAAGATTAGATTTCAACATCATGATGGTACTTGCGTAATGATGTGTGTGTCCTAATTATATGATCAATGAAACACGGCATGATTTTGGTCTGTAATGAAGTGTTTCAAGTGATACACATGAGGGAGATGTCCTGTATCCAACACAAGTACTTGATGTGAAATGAAGAGTGTATTAATATACATATACATATTAGATTTCAGCATCATGATGGCACTTGCATAATGATGTGCGTGTTTTTTTTATGATCAATGAATAAAATGTCCAATTGCTTTATGATCAATACTTTACAAAGCTTTGTGTAATAGTAATCATAATTTTGATTTTTTAAGTAAATTTTTCTAAAACTGGTGCAGGGTTTAGCAAGGATGGAAATGAATGGAGTCGGTCAAATAGCAAACAATCGTCCACATCAATACCGCAGACTCCTCGAAGTGAAGGTGAGATATTGCAGTCTTCCAATTTGAAGAACTTCAGCTACAATGAATTGAAGACAGCAACTCGAAACTTCCGTCCTGATAGTGTGTTGGGAGAAGGTGGTTTTGGTGCCGTGTTCAAGGGGTGGATTGATGAACATTCTCTTACTCCCACTAGACCTGGAACTGGGATGGTGATTGCTGTTAAAAGGCTTAACCAAGAAGGGCCTCAAGGCCATAAAGAGTGGTTGGTGAGTCAGGACTGTTGATTCGAATCAATAATTAGTTGTCACCCTTAATTTCTGTGGCCTCCGCTTCTCGAGTTTTGAACTTTTCTTTCACTTTCGAAAATAATATGCTAGCATGATGACAACTAAGAAATTCTTTGTTTCTTAATTACTAATATCTGCAAATATAATTGCGCCATTTTTGTACTTCAACTGGGTTCCTAAAGTATGCGAGTCAACTACTTGATTTTCTACAATAATGTTTTCATTGGCAGACGGAAATTAACTATCTGGGGCAATTACGTCATACAAATCTTGTGAGATTGATTGGTTATTGCTTAGAAGAGGAACATCGGCTACTGGTGTATGAGTTCATGCCTCGTGGGAGCATGGAGAACCATTTATTTAGAAGTGAGCTTTATACTCTTGTCTGTTCTCTCATTGAATACATGTCTGCTGCAATTTGTAAGTTATTGATTGTATTTTATAAAACATTTGGGCAAATAGGGTCTGCACATTTCCAGCCTCTTTCTTGGAGCCTAAGAATGAAGATAGCTCTTGGTGCTGCAAAGGGGCTTGCTTTTCTTCATAGTGATGAAGCTAGAGTTATTTATCGAGACCTTAAGACTTCAAATATCTTACTTGATGTGGTATGCAAAATACTGTTCTTACTTCATGCTATTCGGATAAATATATTGACTCCAAATTTTGTGATTGCTCGTTTGTCTTTATATATGAAATTGCCAGAACTACAATGCAAAGCTATCTGATTTTGGGTTAGCCAGGGATGGACCTTCTGGAGATAAAAGCTATGTCTCTACTAGGGTCATGGGAACTCATGGTTACGCTGCACCAGAGTATGTCGCAACAGGTATTTTTTCCATGATCTGTTAGTATCTTTAGATTCTCAAATGTAAATGCTGCACCAGAGTTTTATTGGCTCGTAGCTCATCATAGCACCAGCTCTATGAGTGATGCTTATAATTGATTACTGGTGCTTCTATAAATATAATTAAGTTTTAAGAATATTTATTCTTAATTTCTATATCAAAAGTGTATTATTTTTTTTTTGTTAAGTCATGTTTATTTTAGTTTTGCTAACATGTTGAATATTGTCTTCATGCAGGTCATCTGACTCCGAAGAGTGATATATATAGTTTTGGGGTTGTCCTCCTGGAAATGTTATCTGGCAAACGTGTGATAGACAAGAACCGGCCTACTGGTGAGCAGAAGCTGGTAGAATGGGCAAAACCTTACCTCACCAACAAACGCAAAATCTTTCGTGTTCTTGATCCACGAATTGAAGGGCAGTACTCTCTGGATCATGCAATTAAGGTTGCTAACCTTTCTTTAAAATGTCTGTCATTTGATCCCAAGCTAAGACCAAATGTGAACGAGCTAGTTAAAGAACTAGAGAAGCTTCAAGTTCTGCAGGAGCCTACAAGGAATGCAAGAAGAGAGACTCACCTTCCAGGCCAACTCAGTTGCCGAGCTAATGGAGTTCAGTCCTACAGGCACAATCTACCAAAAGCTTCAGGGGGCACTGCTGCTTATCTGAAGCCAAGTCTACTTGCTGTTAAATTATAGTGATAACGTATATATGACGGAGTGATATAGATTATAATTTTGAATAGGAAATTGGTGCAGCAGACCATAGGATAAAGGACACTGATTCTCATGAATTCTGCAGTGTATTATAAGCTGTCAGGAGTAGAGCATTGTACAGAGTCTTGCATGTTGCAAATACATTTTGTGATCCCCCCTTCCTCCTTCCCCTCGATAAAATAGAACGTTTGCCTTCTGTTTTTACATTGTAGATTAAGCTGTTTTGGCAGGCACATTGTAGTTTCTGAGAATTTTAGTGCATTATGTTTGGGGAAGTTGTATTGTAAAGGATGTAGCTTATAGCTTCCAGATTCCTGCTACTGCTACGTTTCTCGCTCTTGCTGTTTCAATTTGGTTTTTCTAAATGTTTAGTTAGAGGCACACGGGCTGTATAGGGCTAGAAATAAATCTCGTTTCCAGTTAATGTGGCTTTTTTTCTACCCATGAAAACGTCTGAAGAGATTAATTAAAAACATGAGTTGGCCTGAATCATTCTCTTCCGCTTTAGTTAAGCAACCAATTTAAATGTTAAGTTCTCTAGACCTTCACTTCCATCTTAGACCGTCATTTTTAGGAGTTATAAAAGAACAGGGTGGCTAAGATAAGTTGTGTTTAGGGTAAAAATACCCCAGCCACGTGGTCCAATCAGGTGCTGACACGTGTCAACGTCAGAGGGGTCCTAATAGGACCAATCCCCTGATGACATGTGGCACCCTGACCCATGAAAGGAGAACTGATCTCCTTTCACTATAAATAGAGGAAAGTCCTCATTTATTGCACATTCATGCACCTCCATAAATACATATACAAATACCGAGCAATATTAATTGCAGAATCTCCCGGAATTCGAGAGACCATTTACTTTCCGCAATTTTACTTACTCGGACGTATTCTAACTTGACCGTCGGAGGCGGAACTTCAACCAACCGGGGTCTCCGTGCTTTTACAGGTACAGGCGGTCGGCTACCAGTTCTGGTGTTGTAACTCTCCCGCAGGACACATAAAAAAACCTTGAAACAAGTTGCTTGATGTATACTCCACTACTTGGAAAGATATTCTTAGAGGAAGAACAAAGTTTCGCGAAGGATTGATTATAAATACATAAACACAGTCACACAGGTAATGGAAATGGCACTTCAATTTGGTTTTTTCTTTGGGTTGGAAATAAACTTTATATGGATGCAAATGTAAAATTCCCACACTTGAAGGCTCATTTGACAGTGTATATGAACGATATGATTATCAAAATGGGAAATGGAACCTTGAAGAAATTAAGATTTAGGGGGATATACGTCAAGCTAGAACCTTTAACGTATCTTTTAAAATCCTCACCCACGATTTAAGTTTAAATTTTCCATCCTAGCTAGTTTATGAGGTTGAGTTTAAATTTTCCATCCTGGCTTAGCCATTAAAGCAAGTTTTCAATTCTTATAGAATTTCATTCCCAATTGGTACGAAAAGTACGATAAATGTAACAAGATCTATCAATTTGATTTCCAAAGGAAATATTTGCGTTTAGAATATACTTCGTATGTTTTGGATATAAAATGGCAGAAGATTAGTTTGCATGGCATAAAGAGTACATGTGTTAGTTTTAAGTAACATAGAGAGGAGTAGGTTGTATGTTTTGCATCACAAGTTCACTAACCCCTCAAATAACTTGAATAAAACTACCTTTGTGGCTTTATGAAAGGTTGCTTTTTTCCTGTACTATGTCCACAAATAATTTGTTTCTACCGCTAAGTATTGGTACATACCTATGCGGTTCATGTGGTATGAACCAATACATACCAAGGCAGTTTTATAAATAAAATTAACTTTTTTTTTGAGATACTGAAGATACCATTAAGTGAATACATAGTTCCATTAGATAGTGTAATGATATTATCATACATTCTGATGGTATAAATATGTCATGATATATTTCTAGTAGTACAAATACATAGTTATGGACTAGGTAAATTTCAATGATACTAATGGTACATATAATATACCATTAATGTATTGTTTCACAAAACAAAACAAAACAAAACTTTGTAAAAAAAAAGGAGGGGGGGGGGGGGAGAGAATGAAAACATGTATTGATTTGTTTGGTAGATCTAAAAAAGTGAAAATATGGAAAGTGCAAATTCATCAGAAATTCCAATTCCTATAAAACATGGGAATTAAATTACCAAGCTCCCCTTTGTAACTAAAAATTCCATGATTTGAAACAACTTTCACAACAACCAAGCAAGTTAAGTTATTTTCCTAGAAAATTTGATTTGGAAATTTTATTCTAATGACCATTGAATTAAAAATTAAATAGCAAGCAAATTACCCTACGCTCTATGATGCATTGATGCTCATACAAGATGAGTATGTAGTATGTACACTGACTCCTACTTCTAATTCAAGAAATACTCCATCTGAACGTCAATTAATATATTCAGAGGCAGGAGCCCAAAAAAGGCACATTTGATTGGAAAAATACACTTTGATAATCCTAACTAAAGGTTTATTTTTTAATAATCCTAACTATGCCCTGACTTTGCCTCCAATGATCCCAACCGGTCAACACCAAGTCAACGGTTGTTGTAACAGGTAACCAATACACACGTCAGCGCGTGATTTGGTCTAAAATTAAAAAAATAATAATAAAAAAAAAAACTAAAAACCCTAACAGCCACCACCCCCTCCCCTTATGCCACCGCAAAACGGCAGGGCCAACCCCTAGTCCGTTGGAAAACGCCTAGTCGTCTCCCCTAACCCCCGAAAACAGTCGGCCGGCCCCTCCCAACCCCAAAACCACCTTAGCCGGCCCACTCCCACCCCCAAACCACCCATCCTCCCTTGAAAACAACAGCAGCCATCACAATGGCGCAACCAAAGCAGCGGAAGCCACCGCAATGACGCAACTAAAGCAGCAGTAGCAACCGCAATGGCGTAACCAAAGCAGCAGCAGCAGCCATCACAATGGCGCAACCCACCGCAATGGCGCAACCAAAGCAGCGGAAGCCACCAGTGATTGCAGCGGCAACCGCAGCCCCGCACCACCTATTACATCAACACTGCCCCTGCCGGAATTAATAATTCGGCCACTTGCAAGTGTAATTTCGACCTCAATAATTTTTCCTATTTAATTATTTTTATTTCTAGATGGATTAAATACCTTTATACCACCCCTTAACTGCTTGTTTGGATGGAGAGAAATTGAAGGAAGGGAAGGGGAGGGAAAGGAAGGGATGAGTATTCCTCCATTTGGATATCAAAAATGGGAGGTGAGGGAATTGGGAGGAAGAGATGGAAAGAAATTATTTCCTTCCACAATTAAGAAACAAATCTTTCCAAATTAGAGAAAATTTAGAAGGAAAATTGAACAAATCTCTCCAGCACCTACTGTTGTAGCCTCCACCACAGGCCACATCATCTTCCGCCGCCATATCCACCGCATCAATTGCCGCCATGTCCAAACTTGTCTTCTTCTTCTTTATAAAAATTCGATCTAAGAAATATTGTTTTTTGAAATTGATTTCAAAGTATAAAAATTTCAAATGATGAGATACAAAATTTTTTGGTTTTGATATACAAAAATTGATTTTTCATGAAATTTGGTTTTTTTTTTTTTTCATGAATCAAGTTTTAGAAAATTGAGTTATGGTTCTTCAAATATCGGTTTTCTGGAAATCAACTTTTAGAAAATGTGATCTTTTTCTAAAACCAACATTCAGAAAATTTTGTTTGATTTTCAAAAATCAATTTTCAGAAATTTTGGTTTTAATTTTCAAAAATCAATTTTCTGAAAATTTCATTTTGGAAAATCAACAAGAATTGATCTCTAGAATTTTTGATTTTGGAAAAATTATTTGTAAGAATTTATATTTCCAGAATTTTATTATTGAAATTTTGATGTGAATTATTGATTTTGAAAAATTGAGAATTTCAATTTATATTATATCAAGAACAAGCATATTCCCTCACTCTCTCTTCTTTCATTTTCTCTGTTATCCAAATGAGGGATTTTGTTTTCTTCACCCCTCCCCTTCCTTCACCTCCCCTTCCTTCATCTTCCTTCCCCTCCATTTCCTTCCAAAAATACTATTCAAACACAGTGTAGAAGTAGACAAAAGATGGAAGATTGCACAGTTCCTAAGAAACAAGGATAACAAATTACATGTTTCTACTCGAACTCCAAACCATATTTGAAACCAGGACTATTTAAAAGACCATCAGTTTCCATACAACTTGCGTTCTTCTTAACCTAGTACGATGGCTAAACAAAAAAGACAGTTAATTCCCAACCCAGCTTCATTGATGTCTTTGCTTGATGAGTATATTTCCGGAAACTGTTGATCATGAAGCAGCTAAACAACTTAAAGGTTTAGATAATTCTAGTGTTGTCAATCTATGTTAATACATCAGTATTAGCAGTTGTCTTGGTGTTCAGTGGGCACTGAGAAACATACGGCTTGAGCTGCAAAAAGATAGGTGTGAGCTCAGGTGAGGGGCAGAGTACTTTGTGAACATGAAATCTGAAAAGAAATGTTGCTGGAAACTTGTATTCTGATTTATGTTACAACCATTCACAGTAGTCAAAGATTGAGTCAATAATGCAAATTATTCCAACAACCAGATATAAGCAGAAAATTCACGACATAAAATTATGTTTTCAAAATAAGATTTTTTTATCTCTCTCTACCACAGAGGCATAAATTAGAACACAGGACAACACGTGATAGAGGTCAAATCACTACAAATACTTAAGAAACAGCAATGCAGAACAAGGGGCTTAACGCAAATATAAAGATAGTAGCTAGAAAGGTAGAAAGAGTAAAATATCATTAGAACAATTGAAGCTTCAGAGAATTCTGTTATATATTATAGGTTTGTGGGATTGTATTGTACATAGTTTCTAAATTTAAAAATAATGAATTTACAATGACAAGAATATACTGATAGAAGGAAGAACATTTTGCAACAACATCCATCCAAATTAAAATAAGATTGGCATAGTACATTACGCAGATGAGTAATGGAGAAATATGGCACTTGACTGTTTTACAGAATTTATCATTTTAGACCAGAAGAAAGCTTAAGCTTATCGTCTAATTCAGCTCCCATCTTTAGCCTACAATCTACAAACTCATCCAAATAAATCTCTCTAGTCCCTAATCCAGATTCAATTTTGAAAATTCTTATTTTCTACATCATTTGAGCAGATTTGACACACTGTTATCATACACACACTTGTCATCACGAAATTAATTTACTCGTTAACCTACAAGAATGACATGAATTCCCTTATCATCTAATGCCCTTGCCCCATTCCCCAAGAGCTGGGTTTATTATCGGAAATGATCAAAATTCTTTA